TAGGAAGAACAACCTTCAGAAGGCGGCCAAAGAGCCCGAAAAACCCACAACAACAGTTTACTGCTTGACCAGTTCAACTGTTAACACAACAGCCGCAGCCAGATTGCCCCAAACGGAAAGCCCGTCATAATATTTTGCAGAAATTGTTACTAGTAGAGCGGCTGTCTGTTCCTTTTGAAGCTGATGAAGTGAAAAGTGCTGAGAAAACGAAAGGACAAGAGGAATTCTGTGCTGTTACATCTCCCTAATATGTTCTTTTTAGTACCCCAAACTCCTGTTTCCTTGTTACCAGTTGTTTAAACTTGCCATATATAGAGGGAAATGCTTTAGCCCTGCTTCCTCCAGCATCACTTTGATTACACTGCTGTGGATGGAAGATGATACATGTGAAAAGGGAAAGCATCCCAATCTATGTACATTCTCCTCTTGAGTCAGGACTGTCATTTTCTAGTCATATTTGGAGATCATACCTGAAACACTGGAAAGCTAAATGGGTGTGGGTGTGGGTGGGGATACATTTGAGCCCAGCTCTGTGTGTTCCCTGCTCATCTGGAAGTCAGCAAGACCTTTGTGTGTTTAACACAAAGTTCTGTACTGGAGCCCATAAATTCATTCATCTGAAAATATTTACAGTGTGTATGGGCTTTACAGCCTTGTTATCAGTGTGCTCCTGTACGCACCAACCATTTTATCCATAGTTTCAGTCATTGTGCCAGAATAGAACTTCCAAGGTCCTGACCCATATGGAGAGCTTCTGATTTTTTCCAGAATTATTTACTTTTAGTAAAAAACTGACCATAGAAAAGTTTATTTATTTAAAGTACTTTTACCCTGACTTTTTCTTTAAAAAGGACTCAAGGTGACTTACATCATTAAAAGACAATATTTAAAACTAAAAAAAGAGTATACAGAGATTATTAGAAGACAATAATTAAAATTCAAAACAAGTATGCAAATATTATAAAGAATCAAATACATTTGGAGAAGTGGTAAAAGCAATACTAAGAACACATTCAAATAGTCCATAACAATCTAAAAATCCCACTCAGGCAGCCAGTCAATTTATAGAATATTGATCCAAAAAAGTTAATCTACAACAACATTTTGAAAACATTTTGACAAGCATTTATTTTTGCTTTTTAATTCATTCATGATGTGGAATCTGTTGCCGAAATAGTTGATGAATTTGCTGTTTTGGAAGGGTATAGTAATTTGGGAAGTAATAAGATCAAACAAATTTGCAGCTGTTAAGAGTAGACTTTAAAATGTCCATTATGTAAATATACAGTTTAGAAAAGCATTCAGTTCTTTACTGTACACAATTTAACTTTTTAGCTAATTTACTGTATTTCATTTTCTTAGTTGCTAAGCAGTGTAAAGTTATCGGGAATGTTTCCAATATGGATGTGCACAAAATGGCACAGAGGTTTCATATAAGAAATAAAGAGTTCCGACTCCCAGTTGAATCACTGAGAAATCCCAACTTGCAGTGTCCTTCACCTGAAGGTAAAACAGCAGTGTTGCGCAACAATTTCTCAATCTCTGACCAGACTAAAATGTTTCTTGCTAATCATGACAGCGGTTCAGTTGAAAGCAGGTGGAAAGGCTGTTGTGGCTCTGACAAACATATATCAGGATCAAACATAAAGAAAGCAGAGGGGAAAGGTAAGAATTATTATTATTATTATTA